CAAGTCTGGGCTCAGAGGGAATAAATCTCCTGTCTCAGACTCCTGCAACTGCTGCACGGGAGAGGGACAGATCTAGTGCTACACTGTGAGACTAAGCTTGACTGAGAAATTCTTTGGCTTCAGTGTGCCTTTAGGAGAACCAAGAGTCTAGATCCCAGACAGGAGAGACCTGGGGGATCCATGTCCATCTGAACCCCTTAGAAAACACAACCATCCTTTATCCAGAAACCGATGAGACGTGTGAACATGAGGCTCAGTGGAGATCTGGGAGATGAGATTTGAGTCTATTATTAATAAATACCAGGGACCTTGTGGCTCCAGAATACATTATTTCTTAAGGAATTACACCAGGCTATTCAAAGGAATCCTAGCCCCGAGTTCTGCAACAACAAATTGAACGAACTTGAACAAATCATTCAGCCTGCATTAAAAGGAGTCTCAAGAAGAGGGCACAGAGCCTTTGCTTCCAGAACCCTCTGTGGTGTGCTCACTGGCCCTTCAGTTTCCAGGTAATAAAGAGTGCTCAGTGCATGGTGTTATCTAGAAACTGCTGCAAGTCAAGGACCCTAGTATTCATGTGCAAGGCTTGATATATCAGTAACATAGCTCAGAACAAACCCTAAATATGGACCCTTGTTCCAAAAGCATTCAGAATTTAAGAACAGCTGCAACAAGCACAGGACCCTGTGTAAGTTCCTGGGCCACATGCCTGTAAACATGCTCCCAGGCATTTCTAGGATGTATAAGGCTAGTCAGATCTAGCTTTGGTTCTTGGAACATATTTTTTGATTTAGATAGAATACTCTGCCTGAAGTCTTTGGTACCTACTGAATTTGAAGATCCAGATTGCTTCATAGGCAGCTGTCCAACCCAGCACCATTCAATCAGACAGGCAATTGCCTGTGCAGCTGTGGGGTAGCCGTGTTCCCTGAACTCTAGAGGGAGTTGCTGTTTTGTGTTTAGTGTTTTGATCATAATAAAAAAATAATTACCCCATCACATGACTTGCCCACAAAGCTGTGATTCTCGTAACTTGCTGTGGGAAGACAACCTGATACACATCCCTTTTATGGTATACTTGGGCCCAAGGTCTTTTGTAAACTTCTGTGGGATAGGAAGGTACTAGAGAAAGAGTGGACAGGAGGGTAGCTACAAAGGACATCCTTAAAGTGAGAGTGGCTTTTGTAGATTAGACCAATGAAATTCAGAGCAAGAGGAAAAGATGAGAAACCTTTCAGGCATTCCTATAGTAAGAACATTGGAGTATATATTTTAACACTTGGGCAGATAGGTAGAATTCCTTATGCCCAAGTCAATGTGTTTAAATCAGACTCTATGCCTTAAACCTCAAGGAGGTAAGGACACTTTTGCCTATTGGTCTAGATCTGCCCAGTTCTAACAATTGTCACCAGTGGACCACCTGTGCTTTTGATGAGGTACTTGCTGACAAGTATCTCTTACCTGCAGCCATTTTTGTTTCCACTTGAAGGAAGGAGTCATGACTACCTTAGAAGTGTTCCTTCTCCATTCGCTGAAGACGTATTTATTAATTGCACAGTTGTGTGGCCAGTAGTGTTCTGGGTGCTGGAGACACAGGGGACTAAGGCCCTTGCTGCTGTTCACCAAGGGTGGTAGTGGAGACAACAAACTGAGAAACAAATATACCCATGAGCTCACTTCACATTTCAGAGAACTGCAAGTATTACAAGGACGTTAACCCAGGGTCACAGTATAGAGGGAAATGGTTGCTAGCAATGGTATTGCCTTTGTCTCAGAGGGTCAGGGTGACCACTCTGAGCAGTAGTGAGCAAGGAACAGATGATCAAACAGAGCCTGTAGGAATAGCTTAGATGCCTCTAAGCCTGGGGAGTTTGGGGGAATCAAGAAACAGGACTGTGTAGAAAAGCAATTCTCAACATATAGGCTGCTACCCTTTTGGAGTTGAAGAAAATTTTCAAGGGGTCAACTAAGACCATCAGAAAACACAGATATTTACATTATGATTCACATTCAACAGTAGCAAAATTGGAGTTGTAAAGTAGCAATGAAAAATAATTTTGTAATTAGGGGTCAACACAACATGAGGAACTGTATTAAAGGGTTGAAGCATTGGGAAGGTTGAGAACCACTGATGTAGAGGATTGAAGGGGATGAGAAGAGGATGAGGAGGAAGAGGAAGCAAGCAGGCCTAGGTAGTGGAATGGCTTTTGTAGGGTCTTCAGCAGTAATATGATGCCATCCCATCAGAGGAAAACTCTAGAGCCTTGCATTTCTGCCAGGCTGCTCCCCAAGGGTAATGTTCCAGTCTGCAACTTGGTCCAGCTATGGTGGTAGAACTTCTAGTAAGGTAAATCCATCTTGCCCTGAAATTACATGCTGTGACACAACCATGTCCATTTCTACCAAAGACTATATTTCAGTGGCTTCTTCCCAGAGTGACTTTTTGTGTTTTACCAGCTTTAAAACCATATCTGAAGTTTGGATATTGGTGCTTCTCTTCTACTCCATGTCTGTAAGATACGTAGAACCCTGGACCATAGAAGGGATGTTAAGCGATTCGCTGCAATGGAAAAGTTTACTCAACTTAATAGAGAAGGAACAAAATCCATTTAAAATCTACTCCATGGAGATTTCTCCAGATTTTCCTCCCTTACACAATCCTTCCAAACTTGTTCTTTTTTTTTCTGCTGCCACATCTGATGTTTTGTTTGGTGACCTGATGAGTTTAACCAGGGCTGTGTACAAGGGCATAGATGGGACATTATTTGCAGCAGTGTTTTGTACCTTACCGGTGCCTACACCACTCTGCATCACTGATAAAGATCTCTTTCCCTCACCCCAGCAACTGTTAACTGCACATAAATCCTTGGAGATGGGTAGGTGGGACTTCTTGACTCCCTCCAACTCCAGGACAGAATGTTCAGGAGCCTCACCATGATCAAGATCTTGTGCTTATAGCATGACATAGACTTTACACTATTGAACTCTGGGATAAAAGAATGTTTAAGATTCATTACCTTTTTTGCAAGACGTTTATTGGATATAATTTAGGCTGTGGGAAGGTTCTAGAACATGGAATAACAGTGACATAATACATGACCTGGAAGACTCTTTAACCATGATTTAGCCCAATTATTCATCAGATAGGAAGAAGAATGAGGCCTTAAAATGAAGAGGCCTGTCCGAGAATAACAAAAAGTGGCCAGAATCCTGGGGTCATAAAAGTGGGAGAGCTGGCCCTTCTCCTCATGAGCTGCACCACTTGGGAGAGCAGGCTCAGCACCTTGACCGTGCAGCACAATAGAGCTAGCTCTGGTGGCTTGGATGCTAGTAACCTGGCCCCATGGGCATGAGAGTAGGAAAGGTGACTCTGCCCTCTGTGGGTGGCAGCATTGGGTGAGCTATCCAGACCAGTGCTGGAGAGCTCACACTGGTAGAGGTACAGGAGAGCTGGTGGGATGACCAACTCCACAACCACTAAGGCCCACATCCAGGACTTTTACTTGGCCCACCCCAAAATCTACCTTGTCTAAGAACTGCTTGAGCATGTGAAAGGGCCATTCACTTAGATCCAAAGCTGCAGGATCTCCATGACACAGGGCAACAACAGGATAACCAAGAGGAATCCAGGCGAGGCTCCAGCATTGATGGTATAGCAGAAACCAGAGGCCTCAAACCAGACTAACTCCTTGTAATGTACATATACAAGTAAAAATGTGTAGATTAAAGGTATACTGTAGGACACACTACCCTTTCCACAACAAGATGTTCTCTATGCTTTGTTTTGTTTTGTTATTTTCTTTTTGTGTGCAGGGGTGGGCATTGCTAGGGCAGAGGGCAGATACAAAGAGTTGGGGAGATGAGTGGGACTGGGGTACATGATGTGAAACTCACAAAGAATCAATAAAAAGTTAAAACAAAACAAAACGAGTGACCAGTAGTGGAGCTGGGACAAGACTGTCTCTCCTCTCACAAGCTGTTACAAATGAACAAACTGCCTGGTGTCAGTACTACAGACCCTCCTAAGGCCTCCGTTTCCCTTGTCCAGGGGAGGGGATTTCCTGCTTTCTAAGCACCTATGGGAACTCAAGGATTGCGGGGAAAAGTACCTATAAGGATTTCAACACCATTCTCAGAATTACTTTTGACAAATGTGTGTGTGCCCCTGTATCTGTCAGTGTGTATGTGGGTTTGGGTGTGTGTAAGTACATGTGTGTGCACGTGTGTGTGTGTGTGTGTGTGCATGTGTGTGTGCCTATGTGTGTGCCTATGTGTGTGCATGTGTGTGTGTGCCCATGCCAATCTCTATTATCATTTATGTATTGTAGCTTCTGCAAATTTGCTGGAAATTTTCTCCAAAGGAAGAAACGTAGCAGAGATGTGTTGCTTTGATTTTTTTTTCAGTCACTGTAGGCTGGCATTTCCAGCATGAGAGCTTTCTGGAGCAGCTTCAGCCTTTAGACCTACCCTCTCCTCTGCCAGCCAGAGGTAGTGGGGACCAGGGAGCCAGGAACAACTGAAGTCTCTCTTGGATATTTCTTCTCTTTCCCTGTTGTTGGCCTGTAAATCCCAAGCTGTTCCTGGGGCCTCTTCTCAACTTCCTGAGCCCTTTGCTGGCTCTGTGCCCAGGCCTGTGTGACGGGCCTGACCTCACTTCTCCCTGGCACTGGGAACAGGCCAGATGTGGGTGGCTATTCCATGGCTCTACTGAAAAACTTGCTCTCTGAGATTGTTTTTTGTTGTGTGTGAGAGAGTGCGTGTGCATGTTGTCATGCCTACACCCTACAAACATCCTAGTCAGAGGTGCCAAAAATCACAAGGCCCCTCTTTGGACTTAGTTAGCTTACTGTAATTCCATTTAGCATACGCATGAGCTCAAAGACATGCACATGCACACTCTCACTCGCATCTTACCTTGCATTTGACAGTATAGAGCTCTGCTCATCTAAGTGTGTGAATACTGCTTTCATATACTCTCCATGACGGTTTTTTCCTTGCAGGTCATAAAGAAAGAAACAGGATTTTGGAGGGACTTTGGATTTGGGATGACTTGTCAGTACCGGTCAGACTTCATCAACATAGGTGAGATAAAACTTCGTGTCTACTGCCACCTGGTGGCCACTGTCCCACAGACCTTGAATAAATCCTGAAGGTTCTTCTGGTAAAGATGCTGTCCTTTCCATAAACAGTTCTACCCCTCAGGACACAGGAGGCAACACTTGGGACCCTGTCATATACACCAACCCCTCTCAGGTGTACCCAGTACCACTCAAGGTTTTACAATGGCAGCATTCAAGTAAGTTCTATGGTGCCTCCTTCTCTGTGGGTTCTTGCTGTGGAGCCCACTAAGAGTGTGAGCCTCCAGCAAGGTGACAAGGAAAAGGAGGACAATCTGGGAAAAGCACATGCAAAGAGGACCCGTGTTTTACTCTGATGATTTTTATTTAAAGGCCCATTTGTCACTTTAAGCTCTGAGTATACAGTTTCTGTCAACATGAACACCTATGTGTGAACATGTCCACACATACAGACACACAGATATGCATGAACACAGAGATGTAGACATGTGTATACAAATGCTCTCAATGACACACATACTCAGACACACATACACACAGAGAAACATATATACACACTTATTCACATAGATACATGCACACATATATATTCAGACATGCATATAAACATATACATGCATATAGATATACATCATATAAACATATCATATATATGTATATACACATATACATGAAAGTATACACAGGCACACACATCTGTTGTGGATGGCAAGAAATAACCATATTAAGATGGAAATAAATATGAAACAACTTAGATTGTACCCCCTAGGAGGCAGCAGAACAGCAGCCTGCTGCCAGTCTGGAGTGGCAGCTGCTTTGTGGAGACAGCAGGTGTCCTTTGACATCTCTCTGGGAAATATTCTTAAGGGGCAACATGCATGTCAGATTCCCCAAAATAATGCTCATTTTTTAAAAAATAATTTCTTTCTAGAAGCTATTGTTTCCTTGCTCTGTACAGAGGAAGATGATTTAATGGCTTGACAATTCCTATGTTTATTAAATTTGGACTCATATTACATTGGGTTCTATGAAGATAGATATCACTATACCTATAAGGAAAGGAGCAGAGTGACCTGGGGAGACCTCAGGAGGCCACTACCATGACCTCAGAGCTTCAGAGTCCCCTTGGATGCTATTCTTTGCAATTATGTTCTTATTTGCATGTGTCTTCCTGAATTTAATGCAAGATGCTGACGACAATAATAAATTTAGGTCAGCAAGCTAAACTTTTACTAAATTCTAGCTTGTTTGGTTATGACATCCATAAAGGATTTAAACACCCCAAAGTTTAGCCATTGTCATGTAGGTTCATTCTTCTAGTTCCTGCAGAGACCATAGAAATGCAAATTCAAAGCCAGTCTGGACTCTAAGGCAAGACTCTGTCTCAAGAAAACAACATCCTAAAACTTGACGACTTAACTAGCAACTATGCTAGGAAAAGTCATCCAAATGCTGAGTGCCTGACTTGTGGTCTCTCCCTTCCTGTGCCACAGTCTCTGGAAGACGTAGCTTTGGATTGATTGGTTGGGATTTCTGGTCATGAATTTTTTTCTGGCTTGAATTGGCCCTGATCAGAGCAGTGTAGCTAGAGTATGTGAGCAGGGATAAAAAGGCTACGTAAAAATGTCTGGGACAGGGTGCTGAGTATGGTCTTACCATGGCTATTTCTTGTAAGAGCTGGATGGGTAAAACACCCAGGTAAGTGCAGAACAGACAAGGAAAGAGCTGTTTCTTCTTTGGCTCTACCTGGGACCTGATAGGCTTTAGGTTAAGGGAAAAAAGCAGCTTCTGGCATGGTAGTAAACATCTGTAATCCAAGCAGTTGGGAGATGAAGGCAGCCTTGGCTGCACAATGAATTTGTAGCCAGTCCAACCCACGTGAGACCCTGGCTAAACAGAAAGGAAACCAAAACAAAGAAAGGACACGTCACTTCCCCAAAGTGAGACAAAGGCAACCAGGGGTTGGCTTTGGAAGGAAGTCAATAGGCAATGAGATAAGAGTTTTCTTGGGGGAAAGTTTAGGACCTGATAGTGAAGCACAGCCCTTTAAAGTGAGCCAGCAGCCTACAGGGAAGGTACACACACGAAGGTTCAGGACAGAATGCAAAGCAAAGGAAGAGTTCTTTTATGGGAGTGGTTTGTTTTTCCTATTGCAAACCCTTATTTTAACTCATTTACCCCACAGGCCCCAAGGTTTATTCTGCTTGCAGGGTCAGAAGGAAGCCATACCCAGATGGAAAAACATGGCTCAAATGGCAAGGTGTCACGTTTAAAAAAGAAGGATGGATACCCTTGAAGCTCTGAATCCTGGGCCAGGGCTACTCATTAGTACTGCTGAGGCCTTTTACAAACAGCACACTTCTTAAATCCTGCCCAACGTTTTGTTTTGTGAAGAAGTTGCATGGTCTGCCATGAAGATCATTCTTATTGGCCATGTCCATCCAGAGTCTCTGTCTAGCCCAGATGGACATGGGTGACTTGGGTGGATGGAGCTTTAAATAGCACCTCCCATAAATACCTCTTTTACTGTGTATGTGGGGATCAGGTGGAGGCCAGGAGACGAATTCAAATATTCCACAGGTGTCATCCACATTTTAAATTTTGGGACAGAGTCTCCCAATGGTCTGGAACTTGTCAAGCAGGTTAGGTTGAGTGGCCAGCAAGCGCTAGTCATCCACCTCTCCCTGTTTCCCTGGTGCTGGAATTGAAAGTACATGCCGCCCTTTCAAGGATCCACTCTTGGCTTTACAAAGGAAATTTTAATGTGTGTTCTGGGTCACAGAACTCAGTTTCTGACCCTTGAACTCAGTTTCTCACGCTTACACCACAAAGCACTTCATCAATTGATTCATCTTCCCAGCCACTCCCATCATGCCTCTGGATGAAAAGTCCCTAGAAGCTGAGTGCCTGTCACAAAATTCAATAGCACGTTCTATCCCCACAGGTGGATTTGACCTGGACATCAAAGGCTGGGGCGGTGAAGATGTGCACCTGTACCGGAAATATCTCCATAGCAACCTCATAGTGGTACGCACACCTGTACGGGGACTTTTCCACCTTTGGCATGAAAAGCATTGTATGGATGAACTGACCCCTGAGCAGTACAAGATGTGCATGCAATCAAAGGCTATGAATGAAGCATCCCATGGGCAGCTGGGGATGCTGGTCTTCCGGCATGAAATAGAAGCTCACCTTCGAAAACAGAAGCTCAAATCCAGCAGTAAAAAGACATGATCTCCGAGGCATAGATTAGTGGAGACATTTAAATTTTTTGCCTTTGGCAGTTACTAAAGAAGTAGATGCACCAAGGTATAGACTTCCACGAAGGGCCACAAAGAATCTGACTGATGAGTGAGAGATGAAAGGAGAGTCTCGGGCTCCTATTGGCTCTGTGTATGACGACTCTGACTGTGTTTACAGCAAAATGATCTCTCTGATCCCTGCTCGCTGAAATATTCACCATCGCAGACTGGTTTTGTAAAACATTTACTAGAATGAGATGCAAACACACTGGCTTCTCTTCTTAGGATTGGTTACATCAGAAGGCTTTGGTACCCAGGACTACCAAAGTCTCAGATAAAGCGAAGGACCTATGTGAAATGTGGAGATCTGGCATCACCGTCTTCCAAGGAGACAGTGAGCAAAATCAAAGGGACCTGGAAACACACCATCAAAACTGTCATTTTCCCAGTATTAAACAAAAACAAAAGAAAAAACAGGACCAACAAAAAAAGTCCTCTCTTTCCCATTATTGTTGAGTCTTCTCTATTCTAAAAATGCACCTTTTTTGCTTCTGAGTATTATGCTTATTTAATTGCCTACTTGCAAACCTTTAATAGGAGCACATTATAGTATACACACTTTTATAATTTTTTTTAAGATTTGTTTTCATTTTTGTTGATTTGTTTACTTGAGACAGTCTTGACACAGAACCCAAGATAAACTTGAAATCATGATCCTCCTGCCTCCAAAGCCTGAGTGCTGAGATTACAGGTGGGTACCACCACAGTTGGCAAGAAGATACATGCAGAGGTATGGGACGAGAACCTCCAGTTGCAAGCACGTGGAGCGCATCAAAGGACTTGCGAATCTCAGAGCACGCTAAGGTTATGTGTGGGGCCGCAGAGAGAAGGGGATCTAGAAACTATCTAAGACTGTCCGAAGAGGGACAATCAAACACTGGAGAAAGAGTAAGACACTTTCCTCGTCACAAAAAAGGACACTAAGAAGACCTTGGTATATTTACTAGAAAACATAATTCCTCCTCTGGAGAAATGGGGACCACTTTCTTACCTGTTTGAATAAACCAAAGTTATGAACCAAACAATCACTTTTCAAAACAGGGTGCTCTTCTTGGTCTCTGGTTTGCAGAAGAAGAAAATGCAGGAAATATATATATATATTTTGAATGACCAATCCATGAATCCAGCGAGATGGAAGATTTTGCTACATTTCCATTCACTCCTGGCTATGTGGAAGCAAGATATTTTTAAAATAAGCAATGTTACCTGATTGCCAAGCATTTTCTTACAACTCCAAATTCTTTTTAAAAAAAAATAAAATAAATCTGATTAACATTGAGTGGTTTCTACATCCATGTGCAAGTTATTTATTTATTAGCCAGCACCAAATGCATGAGCTAATTACCTCTCCTGTCTCTGTGCCTTCTGTTTACCCACCGTGAACTCATTGTTTAAATGCTTCAAGAACACTCAAGCTGTGTGTTTAAAAAAAAAAAAACATTGTATTGATTTGTACTGGTAGTTTATAAAATTTAATTAAAACACAAGACATGAAAGGTGGCATTGCACAGCTAATAAAATTTGTGAACTTGATTTCTTTGTGTAATAGGATTGTATGTCTTGAGTTTGGGGAAATTCTTTAGTGCATAAATCAGGGCTTCTCAGTGCTGGCATTGTTGAAAATTGGAGCTTGATCACTTAGTTGGGGAGGGAAATGTCCCATGCAAAATCCCTATGGTCCATCTACACGGCAGAATTCCAGGGCCATCTCCCACACAGCATTTGACAACCAGAATGTTTCCAATCATTGTCAAATAGTAAAAGAATAGGCGCATAACCCCTGGCTGAGAACATCTAGACAAAATGAAAAATTTGGTATTTCATTCATGCTAATTTTTACTTAGATGAAATTGAAAAATAAATGATTTCTGAAAGCTCTTTACGTGCTGCCTTGCAATCCCATGCTCGGGTGATTTTAGAGACTTCAGGGCCTGTGGTTGTTTCCCAATAGTGGTCCTGATGAACTTGTGACTGTCTAGTGCTGATCTTGTCACAGAGTCAGGCGGATTGCTATCTCACGAGAAGCAAGACATCAAACAAATCAAGCAGGTCCAGATGTCTCTTGGTGTTACAGGCCCTGGATGACTCCAGGGTAGCCAGCATTTGACTTGTTCCCACGATGTTACCGATGCCCGTGACACTGAATAAGATTTTTGTGTGTTTCTTGAGACAAGGTCTCACTTTGTAGCAGGATGGGCTGAAACTCACAGTGCTCCTGCTTCAGACTCTCAAGTGCCTGGGTTACAGTTGTGTACGAGCAATGAACTGATGTCAACAATTGCTCAGGGAACTGGGAAGAATGCTTGGTGGGCAGAGTGAGCTCAGATCTCTTCAAGCCCCCAAACTGGGAAAATGGAAAGTAAAGACTGGAGTATACTGGGGTCTAGCTGGTCTGCCTGAAAAAGCATACTTCAGGGTCTATGAACGACATTGTCTCAAAAAATAAAGTGGAGAGCAGTAGAGCAAGACACCCAATCTGTGCCTCCATGGTGGGGACCCATAAGGAAGCACATTACTTTGTATGATGATTTGAGGAAAAAAAAATCTAATTTAAAGTCACTGAGAGAGCCCTGGAGAGATGGCTCAGCAGTTAAGGGCAATGATGGCTCTTCCAAAGGTCCTGAGCTCAATTCCCAGCAACCACATGGTGGCTCACAACCATCTGTAATGGGATCTGATGCCCTCTTCTGGTGTGTCTGAAAACAACTATAGTGTAATCATAAATAAAATAAACAAATCTTTTTAAAAAAAATGTCACTGAGGGTAACTGTGGTAGTTTTATTAGGTTTGGCCTCCATAAATTCATGTATTTGAATGCTTGGCCCACAGAGGGTGATGGAATTAGGAGGTATGGCCTTGTTGGAGGAGGTGTGGCCTTGTTGAATGGAGGAAGTGTGTCACTGTGGAGGTGGGCTTTGAGGTTTCCTATGCTCAGGCTCTGACCAGTGTGGAAGGAGACCCTCCTCCTGGCTGCCTACAGAAACACTTCCTCCTGGCTCCTTTGGATCAAGATGTAGTACTCATGGCTCCTCCAGCACCATGCCTGCCTGCACACTGCATGCTTCCTACCATGATGATAGCAGACTGCACTTCTGTAAAACCATCCCCAGTGAAATGTTGTACTTACAAGAGTTGCCTTGGTCATGGTGTCTCTTTGCAGCAATAAAACCCTAAGACCGTAACTAAAGAAGGTAGTAAGCATTCCCCCACCCACGGTTTAAAGCTTAGCTTAGTTGCAGTTCCAGTTTGAAATGTCCCCTGAAGGCTCATCTATTCAAAGCTCATCTATTCAGTGGATGGGATCTTGAATGATCCCATTCCCTAAGGAGTCTCCGACTTGATTAATACATTCATACTTTGTGAATCAGCACTTCACGCAGTCATACTTTTATTCCATTCATAATTTGATGGTAGTAGAAAGCTGGGAGGTGAGGACTTAGGAGGAAGAAGATCAGAGCCCTGGTCCTCTGGACTTCCTAGCTCTCTTTACTTCCATCCACTTCTAGGGAACCCAACCTTATGGAAGTGAAGGTCAGGGAGCCCTCATTGCACCTCAATAAGGGGCTGAAATTCCAACTTAGACATCAAAGGAAAGCATAAATGAAACTGCATTGAAGAACTCAGGTATATTACCTCCTGCAAAGAAAGGACACTGCCAAATGCTTAGCTTATCAAAGGCCCCTTCCAAGTTCATGAATATTTACTCTATTTCTTGTTACTTTATGTTGCCTGAATAAGATTTTTTGTTTGTTTCTTGAGACAATGGGGTCTCTCACTTTGTAGCCCAAGGTGGACTGAGGCTCAGATTCTCCAGCAACTGGGTTACAGCTGGGTACCTAGAAATGAAGCTAGAAAACACCTAGAAAACAGTCCACTTATCTAATACACTTGAGGCCGCAAACAGGTACCACTATTGATGCTGTTGTGTGATAGCCGTTAGCAGCTCCTCCCTACTCTCCCAGTGATGACAGAGTGAATCTTCAGAATCAGAGCATTTGCACTACAGGATTGGCAGTTAATGTGACAGAGCAGGCCTCTCAACTTTGAGCCACCAGCCCAATCCAGCCTTTTGTTAACTATTTGGCAACCAATATTGATTCCAAGTAGTAGATCTCACACTGCTGTTGCTGGACCTCTCCAATCTTCCACTTTCCAGCACATACAGACCCAGACAGCAAGCACTTCTTGGCATCAGCAATAGTGTCTGGGTTTGGTGTCTGCAGATGGGATAGATCCCTAGGTGGGGCAGTCTCTGGCTGACCTTTCCTTCAGTCTCTGTTCCACTCTTTGTCCCTGCATTTCCTTTAGACAGAGGAATTCTGTATTATTTTTGGGGTGAGTGGGTGGCCCCAAGAGGAATGGATACAGAAAATGTGGTACATTTACACAATGGAGTACTACTCAGCTATTAAAAACAATGACTTCATGAAATTCTTAGGCAAATGAATGGAACTAGAAATATCATCCTGAGTGAAGTAACCCAGTCACAAAAGAACACACATGATATGCACTCACTGATAAGTGGATATTAGCCAAAAAGAAGTTCAGAAAACCCATGATGCAACTTACAGACCATATGAAACACAAGACGAAAGAAGACCACACCAAAGTATGGATGTTACAGTCCTACTCAGAAGGGGGAGGAAAATAATCTCAGGAAGTAGCCAGAGAGAGGGATCTGGGAGGGAGAAAGGAGGGAGAGGGCAAAGAGGGGCAGTTCTGATACAGGAGGGTATAGGGGAGAAGTACAGAGGGTCAGGAATTTCAAAGGAGGTGTGTAACAGTTGGGAAAGGGGTACTGGGAGTAACTACTAGAAAGTTCCAGATGTCAGAGACCCAAGAGGGTCCCAGGACCCAACAGGGAGGAGACTAGCTCCCAGAATGTTAACTCTTCATTTCAGGGGAAAAAACCCCACCTCTATTATTTTATCTAATCACACTAGGGCTTGGGCCCATGTAGTAGCTGTTATGGCTTCTGCATTGAGACAGCACTTGTAGCTTGCATGGTTTGAAATGAGTCATCCCATGTCTCTGTGTATTCTAGTTTCTTTCTTTAGGATGACAAGTACAATCATGTCTATAGCCTACAATTGCTTCACAGTTAGATGAGTCAGTGCAGATACAGTATTTAGGGCCTGGCCAGCACTTGGGATATGTTTACACACTGCCTCGGGACAGTGTTGAGCTTCTGAGTATACCCTAAACGTCTTGGGCATAATCAGGGGCCCAATGTGGGCCATCCATTTGAGATTATGAAACCATCATGGACTTCTGTCCTTTGTTTTGTTGTTCTGAGAAGTTTGTAAGAGAAAGCATATAACAATAGTGTTAAATATAGTACACAGCTACCAACTTCAATTCCAGTAATGTAGGGCTGATGGGCAGCTGGGCAATACACTCTTGTATTCAGAATAACTTCCACGGTGAGAAAGAGCATGGCTTCCATTTTCCAGGTGCAGACAAGTAAGGCCAAGGAATGTTCAGGGATTGGCCCAGAAACTAACTGACTCCAGGGCTTCATGTCATCGCTCATCCTGGGGCAAGCTCCAGATGCTATGTTCCCAAAGGAAGGAATTTTGAATCCAGCAAGTCCAGACCGCAGAGCTCTTTTGTCTTGTTCGCCCAGTTTCTTTTCTCCAGCCCCACATAAAGCACCCAGAGGAGTGAAACTCACTGACACAGCGAGTTAAGAAGAGCTGCACACCGCAGCCACCTGCAGCTCCACAGCTGCAGTGAAATTATGAGCTAGGCTGGGACTGTGTTTGAGATTGAAGCCTCAGGATCAGGCTCTTAATCAGGATCTCAAGAGGTGAGATTTAAAGACTGTCTCAAATAGAAGGTCAGAGGAGGGGAGCCTCCTGCTCAAAGCGAGCGTGTTCCTGAGAGGTGGATGATGAGATAATGACCTTGGGCAGTCTCTTAGGAGGGCAGGTATATTTTGTTCCTGTGCATATTGATGCCTGAGCTCCCTGTGATTGTGTTCTGGGTAGCTATGTATTATCATTCAAAGCTGTTTTTCCTGGCAAGACTCAGGATGTGCTGTTGCTGCCAAAAACTTTTGAAGTCTATGCCAGTCGATTGGGGGGATTTAGGTTTTTCCCTGCACAGAGAATAAGTTATTTTCTGTCCACAAAGATACCTTTCAAAATGTCCTCACTGTTTTACTCAGCCTTTGAAGGTGCCCTCTGCAGAAGTCAACCCAGCATCCCCTGGGTCTTATTGGCTAGGAATTCTGGTAAGAAAGAGGACAAAGATCATGGAGGAGAGAATAGGAAGGGACCCTATGGTGAATTTCACAGCATGGAAGGGCAGGACACCATTGCAGAGAGGAGTTGGGCCATGCTTCTGCCTCCACTATCACCCAACATTGATCAAGGCAAGAATTGGGGAGGCACTCTGCTAGAACTAATGGACTGTCTATGAATCTGGTATGGGTGGTTAGAAGTACAGCATTTTCCTTATTCTTCGGCCATACTTTAGGTTGAGGTAAGCTCAGTGCTGCTGGTAGCTCTATCTACCTCAGTTCTCAGTCT